CCCCTCTCCGCTGTGGCCAATCGCCAGCTCGCACCCGCCGCCGTGCCCCCGTCCCGCCTGCCCCGTCCCTCCTGCCCCGCCCCGCCGAGCCCAATCGGAAGCTGGCACCCTCCGCCGTTCCCGGCCCCGAGCGTTCCCGCCCCTTCCCTTGTGTCCAATCAGCAACCCGCCGCCGCAGCCGCGGTTTTCGCCAGCATCCGGCTCTCCCCTGCTCCTCCCATCCTTGAACCTCCCGAAGGACAGCTGAGCAGCCCAATAAGCTCTCGGCATGGCTGGAGCGGGCGGCCACAGGGCCAATCCGGGCACGGCGCGAGCGAGGGGCGGGCCGCGTGGTGGACGCGGTGGGTGGAGCCAGCTGGTTGCTAGCCGCCGTCACCCGGACCACCAGGCTGTCTCCGGAGTCGCAGAGGCCGCGCTGGGGCACGCGGGTGCGAGGTGTGCACCGAGGCCTGGTCTCGGCTCGCGGCTCCCGGGCGGTGCAGGTGAGGAGGGCCGGGGCGCGGGCGGGGCCCCTGGAGTCCATCGGCGGGAATCGGGGCCCGCGGCCGGAGCCAAGCCCGGGCCTGGGGTCGCAGACGTATCTGCCTCCACCCGCGTGAGTCCCTGCCTGCTCGGGTGCGTCCCCCGCGCCTGGGGCTTGGGGCCGACACCTCTCCATCAAGGGGAGGGCCTGTAGATCCATGGTGAGCGCTGTTTACTGCCTCGGAGCTGGCCGTCTCGTGTGTTGACTGGGCACCGGGGCCCAGCTCTCCCGAGGGCCGTGCAGCGAGATTGGCTGGTGCTCTGCTGTGGGTGTCCTTGGCCCCCCAGCCCTGGGGGACTTGACCTTTGCTGACGGTCCCCGGTGCCAGCTGAAGAGGAGCAGGGGCGGGGAGGGCCACAGGGCCTGGCAGCTGCAGAGGCCCGGCTGCTGGCGTTGCCGGACAGCACGGATGCTGGCTTGGCTGCCAGGGGTGGGAGGCAGATGGCGGGAGAGGCGTGGTTTGGCCTGGGGTGTCATTACAAGTATGAACTTACTGCCTTGTTCCTGGGAAGCCAGTAGAGGGTTTTCAGTGGAGCCCTGGGGGGTGCCGGTGGGTGTGCACTCGACCACTCACCAGAAGGTCGGAGTTTGAGCCCACCCAGGCCTGGGAAGGGCCTGGACCCCTGTGCACAGCTCAGACCCGTGGGGGCGCCGTGGTCGGAGCCGAGTCATTGGCAGCTGGGTGCATGATGGGAGACAGTTCACAAGGATTGGCTTCGGCTGCCACGTGGGGAGCGGTGGCTGAGACGGGGCTGTAGGGGTGCAGGAGGTGGACTGGGGGGGTGGCCTGATGGAGCGCTGAGAGCAGGCATGGGGTGAGGGAAGGGGGTGCCAGCTGGGAACTAGACCTTGGGCCAGTTACAGAGAGCAGCACAGTGGGTGGGGGCAAGTTTGAGGTGGTTGTTGGGGGCGGCGTTGCCTTGAGGTGCTGTCAGAGTTGGTGATTGGAGTTGGGACTTAGGAGTCCTCTGGGTGGTCAGCAAGTGGTGGTCCTTGACACTCGCTGGCCAGAGGCAGCCCCGAGAGAGTGTGGATGGGGAAGAGGCGGGGCACAGGGACTCTGCAATGGAGACTAGGATGCCGTCTCCTAGAGGCGCCCAGCGTTGGTGGCTTCTTGGGGACAGGCTCTGTGGCTGGTGAGCTGCTTGCTTGACGCAGACCTGCTGGGACTGGGTGCCGGCTAGAGCAGCTCATGCCCGCCAGGGCTCCTCACACGCTGGCCCTTTGTGTCAGCCTCAGCACATCCTGTGAGAGGCCATCTGTGGTCCTCAAGTTGCAGGTGAAGAAGATGGGGAAGGGCTCTCAGGGTCCCCCTGCCCCTGCAGCTCTGCGCAGGGCCCTCCCGGGAGTGGTGGGCAGGTGGGCTGCAAAGCCCCTGCCCCCGTGCGCCCTGTCTCAGCTGGAGCCCTCCAGCTCTGCCTGTGGTGCTCTCCTGATGAGGAGGCCTCCCTGGAGAGGAGGGCCCCGGGTGGCTTACTGCACATGCCTCAGGGTGCAGGGCACCCCATTGCTTCCTCAGACGCCCCCTCACTGCCTCTTGCTTCCCTGCTCAGACTGCCTCCCCTGCGATGAAAGGCTCCCGAGTCACCAGCAGCCCCTCCGGGGGCACCCCGGATGGCATGGACCTGAGCCTGACCGGCCTGCCCCCACCTATGTCCCGACGCCCCAACAGCGCCTCTGCCACCAAGCCTTTTGCCCGCTCTGTCTCCATGACCACAGGCAGCGAGCCCAGGAGGAAGGCACTGGTGAGTATCGTGGCCCAGGGCACAGTGCCACACGATTTGGGGCCGGCCCAGGGGCAGGGTGACACTGGCCTGCAGTCAGGGGGCTAGCCCATGAGACCAAGGGACAGTCTAGATTTTTCCAGCACGAGCCCGGCCCCTCCCGGCCCACCGCCAACTGGATCGGTTTAAGCCCTGGGACTTGGGCCTGACCTGTGGGGAGGGGTGAGCTCCGCGTGGCCTTGGAGGAAGCTGAGTGGGTGGGCGGCTGGGAAGCTGTGAGCTCAGAGCAGAGCTCCCTGCCAGCCCACCTCTACGAGGGACGGGTGGGGTGGAAGGCCAGCTCACGCAGCAGGCGGGCAGGGCGGGGCTGGCCACCTCCACTCTGTCCCGGGTTGCCGTTTGCCAGCGGGCAGTCTGGGTCGGAGGGGATGTTCATGAAACACTGTGAGGGACGTTGCCGGATTGTTCTCCATAAACACCGTCCCAGTCAACACGAGGCCCCAGTGTACACCAGCCTGCGTCCTGGTGGGGGACTTGACCTTTGCTGACGGTCCTCGGTGTCCCCGGTGCCAACTGAAGAGGAGCAGGGGCGGGAGGGGCACTGGGCCTGGCAGCTCCAGTCAGACGGTGTCCGAAGCGCGTCCCTACAACGTCCCTGTGTTCTTGATGGTTTTCACTGATGGGATAAGTTAAAAAAGCCTGATTGTGCTGTTCTTTAAAGTAAGCTTTATCTTGGAGCAGCTTTGGATTTCCACAGTCCCTGTGCAGCCAGTGTAGTGCTCACGTCCCCACACCCCGTTTCCCCACTGGTGATGGCTCCCGTTAGTGCAGTGTGTGTGTGTCCCAGTTAGGGGCCAACACTGACAAGGCTTCATTCAATCAAGTCCACCCCATGTGTGTGTGTGTGGGGGTGGGTGGGGGAGTATGTGTGCTTGTGGGGGTGCATGTGTGTGCACAGGCCTGTGTACACGCAACTGTGTGCATGTATGTTTGAAGTACTTCCTTGCTGCTTTGCACCGCGAGGTGCCCGGGGTCATGAGCAGGCCCTCGGAAGAGCCACTTCTCTGAGGAGCCCCTGTCTCTCTGGCTGGAATGGCTGCAGAAACCAAGCTCTGGGTACTCACTGAGCTTCACTGCCCATGGCGTGCCAGCGTCCAGACCCTCCCAGCTGACCGAGCAAGAACACCTGTGTGTGTACACACTCCTGTCTGTCTGTCTGTCTGTGCACAGATAGGTCTACATGTGACTGTGCGCCTATGTTCAGCTTCCCATGAATTCATCCCCAGAATTGGGGGACTCTGATCCCTCACCACACAGACCTCTCTAGTTTCCTCCTCTGGAAGGAGAAGCCTGACGCCCACCTACAGCGTCGACTTAGTTACTCAGTTCCAGTCAGCAACAGCAGTAGCAGAACTGTAAACCCAGGCGCCCACGGGGACAATTCTCATCAACTCTGCTCAGTGCTCGCGGGCAGTTCCTCTTGCCCCAGTGGCATTGCCATCCCACCTCCCCCGCCCGGATCTGCCGGCCCACTGGGCTGCTGACCACCACCTCCCTCCCCGCTTCCTTGTGCGTGCACTCCCGAGCCCACCCTGCTCTGCTGTCTGACGTATCCGTGACTCCCTGGAGTACCACGTTCTCTCTCATTCTCTGCCTGCACAGCTAGAGCGAAGGCCTCGGGGGCAGGATGGTGTCTCTCCCATGGCTGCCCCTGCCACGTCGTGTGGTTGCTCGGTCCTCACGGTGACTGGGTGGGCCCTGATGTTTCTCGTTTTTACGGAGCTGTGTTTATTGTTCTGTTACAGCTTCAGGCTTGCGTGTTAACACACAAATGCCATCTCATGTGAAATGATGGGAGGGTCCTCCTGGGAGCCCTTGGTCCTTCTGGGATTGGTGTTGGAGAAGGTGCTGTCGTGTGGCTTCTTGTTTGCGTGTGATAGTCACTGTGTGTACTTCTCCTCTGACACATGTCAGACCCAGAGAAGCATCACGACCATCATGTAGTAAGCACGTGATGCCTTGCCAGCCTGGGGGCAGCGTCAGTTTTGTGTGGTTGTTGACGTGCTGAATCACGTAGGCTGTAGTTGGAAGTCTTGGGAGACGTTATCAGTAAGTATGTCAGTGTGTCCCCTAAGGGCAAGGGATCCTCTACTCACCCCGACATGACCCCGCACTGGGGCCGTTAAGACACAGCCAGATGCCTGGCTTCTATAGTTAGGTGTCACCCATTGTCCTGCTCACCTTATAGCTGGTCCTTCAGTTTTTGAAATTCAGGATCCAGCCCACGACCACCATTGCCTTAGGGCCTGGTGTCCTTAGACCTTTGCTGTTTTTTCAGATCTCCCATGACATTGACACGTTGAAGAGTCCAGGACATTTACAGGGAAGCCTGTGACAGTTGGGATGCAGTAGGACTGCTTGGTTTCTCCAGGTCATGGGTCTTTCACATTTGATGGAGTGTAGTCGTACCACTTTTCTATTGCTTGTTTTATTGGGAAACACTTGATTTTTCTTCTCTGACAGGTTTCTGTCTTTCCCAGGTTCCAGCTTCCCCAGGTTTCACTGTGTCTTGTAGACTTTCCTGGTGTGGGTTTGTCTGGTATCTCCACTGGGCAGACATACCATACATTGTCATTTCATCGTTAAAAAGAACATCTCAAAGGCTGTCCTGAGGTACAGTGCTGCCAGGGATAGGATAATATCCGTACACCTATAAGGAAGACCAGTTAATATGACTGTTACTCAAATTTACACACCAACCACGAATGCCAAAGATGAGGAAACTGAAGATTTTAACATCTTCTGTGGTGTGAAGTTAACCAAACATGCGTCAAGATGTATTGATAATTACTGGTGATTGGCACGTGAAAACTGGAAACAAAGCAGCAGCATCGGTACTGAGAAAATATGGCCTCAGTCATGGAAACGACCCCGGAGAGCACGTGGCAGGATTTGGCAAGACTGACAACTTACTCATTGCAAATACCTTTTCTTCATCAACGTAAATGGCCACTATACACGTGGATCTCGCCAGATGGAACACACAGGAATCGAATCGACGTCGTCTGTGGAGAGAGGTGATGGAGCATCATCTGTCAGAACAAGGCTGGGAGCCGATGCCAGAGCAGCCAGTGCTTATGTGCAAGTTCAAGTGAAGCTGAAGGAAATAAACACAAGTCCAGAGTCAAAGTGTGACCTTGAGCGTGTCTCACTTGAATTTAGAGACCATCTGAAGAGTGGTTTTGACACATTGAACACCAGTGACTGAAGACCAGACGAGTTGTGTGATGATGTCAGAACATCGTGCATGAAGAAAGCAAACGGTCACTAGAAAGACAGGACAGGAAGAAAAGACCAAAATGGCTGTCAGAAGAGACTCTGAAACTTGCTTTTGAACATGAAGTAGCTAAAGGAATGGAAGAGATGACGTGAAAGAGCTGAACAGAAGGTTCCAGAGGACGGCCTGAGAAAACGGAGGGTTACGATGAAACGTGCAGAGACCTGGAGGTGGAAAACCAAAAGCGAAGAACACACTCAGCATTTCTCTAGCTGAAGGAACCGAGGAAAAACTAAAGCCTAGAGTCACAATGTTGAGAGATTCTGTAGGCAACATATTAAACAATGCACGAAGCACTGTAACACGGTGGGGATACACAGAGTCTCTGTACCAGAAAGAATTGGTTGGTGGTCAGCCATTTCAGGAGGCAGCATGTGACCAAGAACCGATGACATTGAAGGAAGGAGTCCAAGCTGAACTGAAGGCATCGGTGAAAACAAGTCTTGAGGAATCGACAGAATACCTATTGAGATGTTGCAACAAATGGATGCGGCACTGGAGGCCCTCACTGTTTATGGCAAGAACTTTGGAAGACAGCTACCCAGCCAACCGACTGGGCAAGATCAATATTTGTGCCCATTCCCAAGAATGGTGATTCACCAGAATGTGGAAACTATTGAACAATGTCATTAGTATCACACACAAGTAAAATTTTGCTGAAAATAATTCAGAAATGGTTGTAGCAGTACATTAGCAAGGAAGTGCCAGAAATTCAAGCCAGATTCAGAAGTACATGGAAGGAGAGATATCATTGCTGATGTCAGCTGGATCTTGGCTGAAAGCAGAGAATACAAGAAAGATGTTTACTGGGGTTTATTGACTATGCAAAGGCATTTGACTGTTTGGATCATAACAAATTATGGATAATGTTGAGAAGAATGGGAATTCCAGAACAATCAACTGTGCTCACGTGGAAACTGTCCATAGACCAAGAGACAGTTGTTCAAACAGAACAAGGGGATACTGCATGGTTTAAAATCAGGAAAGGTGTGGGTTTGGGCTGTGTCCTTTCACCATACTTATTCAGTCAGTATGCTGAGCAAATAATCTGAGAAACAGGACTATGTGAAGGCCACGGCATTAGGATGGAGGAAGGCTCATTAATAACCCGCAGTAAGCAGATGACATAACTGCTTCTGAAAACAGAGAAAACTTGGAGCACTTACTGATGAAGCTCAACGACTACAGGCTTCAGTGTGGACTACACCCCAGCACAGGGAAAACAATCCTCACAACTGGACCGATAAGCACATCCTGATAAATGCAGGAAAGGTTGAGGTTGTCAGGGATTCCATTGTACTTGAATCCACAGTCAATGTCCATGGAAGCAGCAGTCAAGAAATTAAACAACATGTTGCATTGGCCAAATCTGTTGCAAAAGATCTCTTTGAAGTGTTAAAGAGCAAAGGTGTAAGTTGGAGGACTAAGGTGCACCTGACCCAAGCCATGGTATTTTCAGTTGCCTCATATGCATGTGAAAGCTGGACCATGAATAAGGAGGACTGAAGAAGAATCGATACATTTGAATTATGGTGTTGGTGAAGAATATGGACTGTACTGTGGACTGACAGAAGGAAAAACAAATTTGTCTTTGCAGAAGTACAGCCAGGGTGCTCCTTAGAAGTTAGGGCACTGAGACTTTGCCTCGGGTACTTCGGACATGTTTTCAGGAGGGACGGGTCCC